TGTAACAGTAAAGGGAGAAGGTAATCTTTGGCAGGTTTATGATACAGATAAAACTGTACATGGTGTATTAGAAAAAGAAACATTTAGAATAGCATGTAGAAGGTTGATAAAATATAGAATATTTTTACATAACAGTTAGTTGATCAAGACAGTAAAAGAATGATCACATGGAAGAAGTTTAGAGCATTATGAACAAGTACACAAAGAGGGCGAAAAGCAAAGTAGTTTACAGAAATTGAGTAGAAAATGTTAAATAATCAAAATGACAGAACAGTCCTAGCAGAATTTCAAACACAAAGCATAAACATTATAGCAATGCGATCTATATGCAAAAAGTTAATATAAGATAGGAGAAGACACGAATAGGTACTAGTTAATAAGAAGAATATGAACTCGATAATAGGCAAAGTAATTAAAAAAAGAAAGAAAGATGTACTTGTAAGTCACTAAAGCATATTTAGAACTAAAGATCAAAATTATTTTATGCTAGTTGAATATGAAAAGTGCAACTTGGATAATAAAAAGAATGCAAGTAACTGTCAGCATTGGGTCAAGAAAAAAGAAATAGCTGGCATGCTGCCAGGAATTAGACAAAAGAACAACCAAAATATTTCAGTTCTGTTAGAAGAATTAAGTAAATATAAAGAGAGTTACATGGAGAATAGAAGTAATAATAGAGAAAAAGTCATAGATAAGAAAATAAAAGTACATACATATAAGACTAGTCTGTTAAAGATGCAAGGTTTTGATAATAATCTAGAAACATTATTATTAAAGCAATTGGAGAAAAACATGAAAGTAAAGTTACAAATTACAGTTTTTATACAGATAGGTTACTAGTAAAAGAGGAAAATGAGTGCAGAATAGGTGCAAGTTGGGTTCAAATTAGCAAAGATGAGAGTAGACTATTAATGAAAGAAAAAATTAAAATAGCAAAATGGCCATCATCGACAAAGGCAGAGTTAGCAGCAGTGTAGATGGTGGTATTAGTTGTAGTATGTAATAGTAAAATAGTTATTAAATTAGATAGTGCAGTAGCAATTGCAAGTCTGGAAAGTAAGAAACCACTACAGAATATTAGAGTGTGAAGTAAAAGTAAAAACTTTAGATTAGTTACAAAGATTAAAAACATGTGCAAGTCGAAGAACATTAAGCTATTATTAGTTAAAGTCAAAGCACATAGTGGAATATTATAGAATGAAAGAGCAGATAAGCTTCAAAAGAAGATGCATGACAGATTGAAATTACAGATTTGAAGCTTGAGAAAAACTTGAGATTTCCATATGCATTATTTTAGAGAGATATAGTAGTAGAGATACTGATAAGAAAATTTGTCAAAACATTAATGAACATGATAAATAGTGCTGAATGGCATTGCTCAAATGCAACAAAAGAGCTAGAGCCAGATGCAAAAGCACAATGTGATTGGAGACAGTTGTGAAAAGAAAATAGAAATTTAATGGGAAACAAGTGTAAATCATTAGAGGAGAGCAAAAGAATCACATTTATAATTAAGTATATTACTGATAGTTTGCCAGTGCTTAAGGTGTTAAAGATGAGAGCACCAGACTTGTATAGTTCAGACTTATATAAAGAATGTAAAACAGAGGAAAAATCATTAAGACATTTGTTCATTTGTGAGAAATATGAGAGCTATTAAAATAATATCAAAGAGTTAGCATGTTGGTTAGTATAGAAAAAGTTAGACAAGTTAAACAAGTGCAAGCTTACAAGATATAACTTGAAAAAAATATTAGTTGGTAAAACAAAAGTAGATAGAATTAAATATAAGAAAGCATACATACATGGGTTAGCAGTTAAGAGTATGTTTAAGAAGTTGTATGCTAAACAGATTTTATATAAAGCTGTAAAGCATAGTATTAAATTATATGTTAAGATTATAGAAGAGATGTTTAGAGAAGAAATTTGGTGGCAAAGATGTAGAATAACAATGAAATTAAAACGAAGAAGAGACAAGATGGTTGAAAATAGTGAATGCAGTATAAAGAAAGTGAAAAGTAAAGAAACATCAATGAATAAGGTCAGAGGAGAGAAATACAAAAAAAGAGAGATGGAACAGAGGCAGTTGTTTATGAAAGGTGTAGATAAAATAATACAGAATAGAAATAGTCCATTCTGGTTCAGTTCTTAACAAAGCTGACAAAGTTTCCCAATCTAGAAATAGGTTGATGTGACAAGTCACATTTAAGTACAGTCTCTGTACTTGAATGATGTCAGGCTTGCAATTGCAAAGTAGATTACTAAAAATAGATAATGTTTCAATTAGTAAAATTTTGTATTAAAGTTCTGACAAGCAAAAATACTTTTCCTGATGGATCATCAGTACTGTTTCTGATGGGATAAAAAAAAAAATCAATTTATGTACTATTCCTGATAGGGTAAAAAAAAATTTGACTAGCATACTGTTCCTAATAGGGTTACATACTGTTTCTGATAGAACTCCAAAAAAAGGTCCAGTAAATATAGCTTGAGTTTATGACTTAGATAATTAATTAGCCATTAGTTCAAGGTAGCTATCTCCTAATCAATATACAAACTAAACATGAACATTACAGCTTTATTAATATGAGCAATACTCATCACCTATATTTATTGCTAAATATGATTATAATCTGGAAGTACTGTATATGCTTACATGATTCTTTGGCAGGAAAAAAAATGCCTATTCATTTTCTGGCCATGTGGTACATTATTTTAAGTTTTTTTTTTTTTAATACATTAAAATAATGGAAATAAATTGAATCAAGAAACTATATTTTTGAATAGCTAGGAAATAAATAGTTATGTTCTTCAGCTACTCAATTGTATGTCACATGGATGTAACTTTAATGATCCTATTACCCTTGTAAAAATACATTTTGCAGTATATATTATTTAACATCTGCGAATAGATTTAAATGCTCAATATATAACAATCGATGTTTGAGGCTAACTTGCAAATTATCTGACCTGAGTCTCACTGGTTTATATATACATTATGTACATTATTATTTGACCTAACTATAATAAATGCACATTTTGAATAGAAGCCTTTAAATAATTTTCAAGATTGATGTCAAATATGTCAGGACACATGGTATTACCATTTAAATTTTCTTATTTCTTTTTTCATTTTTAGTTAGTATTTTCTATGTACATACATATAGTCGAAGATCCCATCTATCGTATTTCTATATTTAGATTTCATTAGTTTTGCAATATGTATTTTCATTAAACCTTATAATAAAAATAGCTGTAAATTAGTTTTATTAGTTGTTTTACACTAGTCAGAACCTATAATAGAAATAGAAATATATATCATTTGAATATTATCTTGTATATAAGACCTTCAAATTTTACATGAATAAAGGCAGACTTCGACTTATTCTTTAATTAAGGTTCGATTTCACACTTTTCTTGAGTATTTATTTTTAAATGCTATTTATCTTGAGTTTTGTATTTTTATATAAGTTAATCTTTAAGTTTTAGTATTTTGTATTAGTTAAAGTTATCCATTATCCTTCGAATTCTCTTTTATTTATGTCTTGAAGTTGTGATTCTAAAAATAGATAAAATCATTGATTAAACCTGTGATTAGAAATATACTCTTAAATTGTATTATACTTGTCTTATTGTTGAACTCTTACTTATGAATCCATCAGTACTGTATTGTCTATTCACACTTTAAGTACTATACAGTGTAGACTAAAATACCCAGAGTACTTTACAAGTTAGTCTGCATATATGGGTATTATATTTGGAAAGATACTATAGTTAGCTTAGGGGATATAAGTCACACTATATGACTATATGACTATATGAGTGCTGATTGATCAAGTTTTTAATTCTTTAGTATCCTGGGTATTTTACATTAGAGATGGGCAATGTAATTTTTTATGTAATCAATATGTATTTTTTAATTGTTATATATTTTGTTAATTATTACATATTATTACATAATTTTTAAAAGAAATTGATTACCAAATAAAATAATTATAATTCTTTAATAAATAAATTTTGAAGTAGCATTAGCAATTATTAATAAATAAATTTTGAATTAGTGTTAGTAATCTTTAATAAATAAAATTAAATTAGCATTATGGATAGTTAAATTTAAATAAATGATATAATTTTCTATTATTATATATTGCAGCCAAAATTTTACATAACAATATATAATGAATATGTAACGATATGTAAAAAATTTGTTCATATCTATTTTACATGCCAAGTGCTGTAATTTTTCAATTTACCCATCTTAATACTCGAGTACAATACATTCTAGGCCTCTAAAAATTGTGAGAGATATTATAGTAAGGGGTTTTTTAGTTTATACTGTAAGGTACTTCAATCTGTTTACTACTAAGCTTAAATTAACACTTGTGTTAATAGTAGTAACAACAGATAATTTAATTATATCATCATTGATGTGAAGTATAATTTAAATTAATTTAAGTGAATCATCATGCATACATAATTACAAATATATTAGTCAGATACATTGTTTAGTCAATATTTACAATTTATAGTATATTTGAAAAATAAATAAATAGATTTTAATTGAATAAAAATTTGTTCTTTCATTTTGGCATAGCAGTCTAACAAAAATAGTATAGTTAATTTTGTATTGACAGTAGAGATATTGTATTTAAGTGAAGAATTAAGTTAGTAGATAAAGAAAACCAATAAAACAAGTAAGTGCTAAGCTAAAAACTTTCAAGAGAATATATGTATTAGGTGACCATGAAAATTATTTAGTAATACTGACAAAGCCAAAAATAATAAACTATAAGGTTAAGAATAACTAATAAATATATCAAGTTCTCTTTTCCAGTATCATGTTAATAATAATAGAAGTGTTAATTTACCCTTCAGTCATGCAGTTGAAATATATATCAACTTTTTGACACTCTTAACCAACTGCAAACTTAAGAAACAAAGTTGACTTTATGTAAATAAGAATATCAAGACAGGTCTAATTACTCTAAAATGTGTTGAAGGAGCTATCGACTACCTCTCTTGGAAGATGGTTCAAGGACAAAATAAATCAATAAATAGACTGGATGATATAATTGAGCTTACTGATAAAGGGCATGAGCAAGTAACTAAAATTAAACAAAATGTAGCTTTAGACCTAACAGTATACTGATGGGTTCTTTTTTGTAATAGCAACAATAATTGTAAAAGGGCCTGTGGTAGAATTGGGGAATGTAAACAAGAATGTCCAAATTTTCAGTTAAAAAAATAACTTGAAAAATGATTTTGACACACATAAGTGTTTAGTTAAATCATTATTAAGGTTATGCTTTCAGATATTGAAGAGCTCTTGCCAGTACAATTGTTTATTGAAGGTACACATAGATCATTACATATACCTGTAGCATTGCAATCAAAAGTATCAAGAATAAATCTTAGTCACCAAGCCTATGACCATGCAATTGCAGCACATTGTGCATATTGCAGTTTTAGAGTAGAAATTGCACTAAAATTATTAGCACCATACCATAATACAAGTAAAACAGATCTTAGATATATGTGTAAAACTAGTAAAAATCTATGTACAGAGCAACAATTAAAATAATTAGTTGAATGTGATGATATCAGATTACATGAAAATGCTGGTTCATGGACAATCTTAGATCAATTGGTTATTACTGAATTAAAAAAGCAAGGAAAAGTACTTTACTATTAGCATAATGATACTTCTGTTTTTAAAAATTTCTCCAAATATTACTACTAATTGACTGTAAGTGATGATATGTGGCTTCAGCAAGGCCAAGATTGCAGATTTTTCTGTTTTGGAATAGATGGAAAATATGATCTAAATAATAAGAAAGCACCTGTACTTTCTATGGTTATTGAGAATGAAGCTGAATACAGGTCTCCATTAGCATTTGGTCTTAGTAACAAAGTAAATCATTTTACAATATGAATAGCTGTGCAAGCAGTATAAGCCAATATTCCATGTAATAATCCTAATTGCCTGCATTGTTACCAATATGCTGATTTAGAGAATGGAAAAGGTTTTCGATATCAGAGAGAATGTGTTTCTTATTGGAATCCATTAGCTATGATGGATAAACATCAGCCCACTAAACTTGCATTGCAGGGTCTTATTCGTGGAACTATTCTCTGTTGGTTTCACATTATGGCAACTTTAGGTGAACATTTACAAACATGAAAAGTAGACTGGCCATTACAGTATCCAATAGCATTGGCTTTTAAAGTTGTTGGTCGAAGTAGATTAGGTGAAGAAGCTACTATAATGAAAGAAGAATATAAAAAATTTATCTACACTTTGTCACTAGACAATAATATAAAAGATCTTTTGGTATCTGACTTAGAAATGAACTGAATTTGTGATAAATGAAGACAGTGTTTTATCAATGATGGATGGGCACCACAAGTACATAATTCAGTCAATGCAAAACTAATGACGACAAATAACCTTACTGAGAGAATGCATAAAACAGTAGAAGCACAACATAGTGGAACACAAACTGTCGTTTCATTTATTGAATGTTTGTATGGTATTAAATTTTTTGAGATTCGCTAATTCAAAATAAGCTTGGTGAAACCTCATTTAATGCGGGTTTGGCAACATATTAGAATATGTGTACAATAGAGCATAAGCAACTTTTACCAAAAAAACCAATTGACATAAAACATCAGATTAACCAAGGGTGTCTTTATGTCTTGCTTGGTCTAGTTATGCTAGTAATTGGATATGAACATTATATGTTTATCAAAAAATGATGTAAAAGGTTTTATTTACTATATAACTATTTTTCTATTTGTATGCTAGCAAAAATAATAAAACAAATTAATACAATAATTACTAAGTTAGTAAACCAAGATAATATTAATATACTAGCTAATTATTATCTTGTGAATATATTATCTGAAGAGTGTACATATTACGATTATATCTGGAATAGTTCTTATCATAATGTCTGTAAACATGTATATGCAGCACGATTCTATATCGAATTATTAAATGAAAGGCTACAAGTACAAGATGTTAAACAAAGTCTAGTAAAGCATTTTAAAAATAAAGAGCATGCAATTGTATTAGAACATAAGAACTATATTATTTATAATGGAACTGTCAATGAAGTTTATCAAGAAATTCTGCAGCTTTTTAATTACATTGGCAATGAAATCTTTTTTTCAACCAATCAAAGAATAGCAGTGCAGGATCCATTTCATCCAATAAGTAATACACAAATTCCTACAATAATCAGATCACCAAGAAACTATAAATTAAAGTATTGAAAGCCTAGTCGATTGTTTAATAATAAACTGTTGGATAAAACAAAGATATATAATCAGGAGTCTGCCAGTTGTTCAGAAAATATTAATAATTCAACAACTAATGATAATGTATATAATGATACTTTGGAGATTGCTATTAATATCCCTCATTCTATATGCCAATGTAATACTACAAGAATTTGCAATAAACATTGCACTTATACTAAAGATGTATGTTTATTAATAATCATTTATTACTAAATATGATTTTTTATTAATTATTTTTTCACTTTATTTAGCCATAAGCATTAGGTGGTGAAAAAGAAAATGATTCAACCTTAGTAGTGAAAAGGTTACTTGAAGAGTTATTTCTTGAAAATGAGTGTTCCTGGAATCCTAAAGAATTTACAAATATGGCAGTAGAAAAAAAGTTATATTTAGATGATAATCCTATAGAAAATAGAGTAAAATTGTATAGCTGGATTAGTAATCAAAAAATTCATGCAAAGAATATAAACAATGTTAATACCTAACTTATAGTCATTAACATAAATAGTTAAAAAGAAGTGCTGTTTGAAAGCAAAATAGTTTGCTTATTTAGGTTTATGTGGTGAATTCTTTTGTTGTAAAAATTATGTAATCCAAAACAAGCTTTTACAAAATTATGAATTTGAAAGAATAATTCTATTTAAAATAAGTGAGAATTAACTTTAGGCTAATTCAAAATTCTAATCATCTAAATTGATTTAAAATTTCAATTTAATGTTAAGTAGATTTAGAATCTACTTAAAAGTAGATTCCAAGTTTAGTTAAATTATATTTCAATATACATATATGCATATATCTTTGTTCACAATAATAAACACTTTTCCAGCTTCACATCTTCAAATTAATTAAAATTAGAGCTGGTAGTGTCTTAAGTGCAACTATAAATAATAGTATATATGACTGTATGTATTTATTGTATTTATTTAAACTATTCTTTCACTATTTAGCCACATTGCTGAAAATACTGAGTTGAATCCTCCTTGATCATCTTTTGAACATTATCTTATCTATTAAAAGGAATATTAATAATCTATACATGATCATATAGTAATATGCCTTTTTAAGAAGTCTTATTTTAACTTCTATTTTTTTTAAATATTCAATGTTCAAACTTTCTGGTTAATAATTACAAATCAAAGGTCTCAATTTATTGTCTGAAGCTTAGCAAAGGACTTATAATAGATAAGTAAATATTAAAAAATGTCATAGAATTCTAATTATCTGACAACTTATCTGCATATTCTTGCATATTTATAAAATTATCTGTTTAATATCTGCTCCAGACATATAACAATATTTTTTTTTTTAGTCATATACATAGTCTTTTAATACTAACTTGCTATATCATTGTTATTTATTTACTGCACAAAATACAAATGATACAACTACAACACTAAACAATTTGATATGATATTACTGTGTTTTGTAATATTATCTCACAACCTAGACAAACTGTTATTGAAACCTCTTGTAATCTGGGCTATGTTTACTGGACCTTTTTTTGGGGTCTTATCAAAAACAGTATATAACCATATCAGGAACAGTATGCTAGTCAAATTTTTTTTACCTTATCAGAAATGGTATATAAATTGATTTTTTTTTTACCCTATCAGGAACAGTACTGATGATCCATTAGGAATAGTATTTTTGCTTCTGACAAGGCTGTCAAAGAATAAAAAAAAAAAAAATTCATTTACTAATTTTTCTCTTATCATCGATGTCTCTTTTAGAATTATATGAGGCCTTTTCCTAATTAATTGATTCAATTCAATTTTTTTCATTTTCATTGTCATTCTAACAACTAACTTACTTGGTAATTTTGCTATTTCTTCTTCTAGTAAATTTTTGTCTATTGTAGTTAATACTGGAGATACCTGAAATAGGACTTTTTTTGCAACTTATGATTATCCAAATCTGCTAATTATATTAACTATTTTCTAATAAGCTTTAGAGCATCATTAGCATCACTTGGTGGTTTTAAACTTATATAATCAAAATTTTTTATTTATACTAGGTCTTTCATACAAATGTCTACTATTTTGTTAAAAACATTCAGAGTAGATGTAATATACATAATATCCTGAAGATGTTTTTTTTGCATTATATCTCTTAAAAAATGCAAAGTAGTTATAAATACTAATACAACTTGAATATTCCATTCATTAATATTCTATACATATTGTATGCAGCTATCATTACAACTAAAGAAACATTTTTTCTTATTACAGAAAAGGAAAATACAAAAATGAACTATGCTTTTATAAATTGAACATAATTGTTTCATGTCTAGAGTATGAAGTTGGTTTTAATTATATAGAAAATAATTATAACATACACCAAGTTAATCAAATATATGTGTGTTTCCTTTTAATATTTTTGTTGCTTATTGCAATTATTACAAATTTGTTATATTATTGTTTTGAATTTTTTTAATTGCATATGTATCTATTTTCTATGTTTCTATCAATTGTTATAATTACTGTAAATTCATTATACTATTACAACACTTTATCTTATTTTTAAAACTATCTACAACTACATATAGTATTAAATTTAGACTTTAAATAGAACTCTTTTCAATTTCTATATTCATTTTATTATCTATTGTTAAGAGGAATTCTTCATAGAAGTCAGAATTTTCAAAGTCAATTTTATTCAAGTCAATACTTTCACTTTTATTATTGCATAATAAGGCTTGTGCATTTTCAAGAATAATAAAATAAATTATAAAAACATCTTCATAGTTTTTTTTCAAAGTGTTATACTTCTTAAGTAAGTAGATTCAAAATTAGTCATTGTTTTAAATATATTATTTTTATAAAAACTTTGAATTTATTTGATTAGTTTTGTAATTGAATTATTTCTTATAAAGGATTAAATTAAGAATATTATAGTAGAAACTATCTCAAGTAGCAAGACTATTTATATATATTTTTATTTTTACAAATTTTTATTGTCTACTATACTTTTAATTTATATAATAAAAGAATGATATATATAAAATTTATTTTTTTATCTTATATTATTTTATTTTATATTTGCTTAATACAATTTCAATTTATTAACAAATATGCATATAGTATTTCAACTACTTTTCAAATTTGAAACATTCACAAAATAAAACATTTCTAAAATTTGTTACCTAGAACTGAAATAGCTGAATTTACACAATAATTTCCTTTTTTTTTATAAATTTTATATTTGCTTACTACAGTTTTAATTTATTAACAAGTATACATATAGTAATTTGATTACTTCTCAATTTCAAAATATTTGCAAAATGAAACATTTTAGAAATTTGTTATTTAGAGCATCAGATCCTGAAATAGCTAAATCTGTACAATAATTTTCTTTTCTTTTTTTTTTTTTTTATGAATTTTGTATTTGCTTACTAAATTCAATTTATTATTAAATAAAATGATACATATAGCAATTTAGCTAATATTTTGATACTTCTTAAATTCAAAATATTTGGCAAAATAAACATTTCTGAAATTTGTTATCTAGGGCATCAGATTCTAAAATAGCTGATTCTGCACAAAAATTTTCTTTTTTTTTTATAAATTATACATTATCTTATTTTATATTTGCTTACTACAGTTTAATTCATCAATAGGTAAGACAATATATTGTTAACCTGTAGTTTTTTCTTTAACTACAGTGATAACAGAAGCTGTTTAACTATAGTATAATAACTATAACTTAATAGATTCTATACAAAGTCTAGACAAGACTTAACAAAATACAGAGTGATTTAGGATTTTAAAACAAAGACAACAATAAATAATATATGAAGATACTAAATATTGCATTTAATTTATTTACTATTGAAATGTATAAAGACACTTAATTTTCTTAAAAGGTCAGAAAGCAGTGCTTTTATAGATATTTTACATGTATAAATTATTATAATAAAGCTAAGTTATCTTAATAGAATATGCTAGATATAATAATACATGATAAGAAATATTAAAGATATAAAAGATATATGCTATATATTATATATAAAAGATATTGTATATATGAAAGAAAGCTAAAAAATAATATATGTATAATATATTTAAGATCTGTAATATCTGTGATATTTATACTTTTCATGCTTTTTATGCTTTTAAGGGTTTAGCTAATTTAGCCATTTATATTTAAGTCACATATACTAAATTTAGTACTTTATTAAAATTATCCTGAGCTTGTGCTTTCGTGATCAGAATCACATGATTTTGTTCTCATTAGAACCATCTTGATAAGCTGAATCTAATAGTAGTAGTTTTATCCAAATTGGTTTGGTATATTAAAAGTTATAATCAAAATATAAAACTTTTAATATCAACAACATGTAGTAATTTGACTAATGTCTGGCTACTTCTCAAAATTGAAACATTTGGCAAAATGAAATTTGTATTACCTAGAGCATTGGAATTCTGAAATAGCCAAATCTGTACAAAATTCTACCTTTAACACAGCTTTGTATACCCTAAGAATAAAAGCAGAAATCTGCCTATGCAGAGTCTGAAAATTTTTCTAAAAATAATTAGTAAATAAAAATTAGTTTAAATTTTGCTTTGACTTAGAATAAACTATTGATAAATAGAACCCATATTAACAATACTAGGTTTTTTTTTATTTTTTATTTTTTTTATTTTTGTATTTACAGTAAATTTTGTAAATTTTATTGAATATATAGAGTTTTTCTTTAAAGTAGCAAATTTAAAACATGATTGTACAACTATTATGACTTAATTGTTATCTCAATACAATTTAAACAATTTGTACTAGTAAAATAAATCTTGTTAAAATAAAACATATTCAAAATATTACCAATTGTATAACAATATATTTTATAAATAGTATTGTATAATAATTTATCTTAAATAAATTTCACATTAAAAGCTTTATTCAAAATAAAAATAAATATTAAACTTTATTATATATTTTCAAATATCTAAAACTTCACAAAGATAAATGCTTATTGTAAATAGTATTTATAGTAAATCTGAATCACTTTATTTAATCTTGTGGTTTGTGCCAAATATTTGTCAATATATCACTATTATGATTTATTGATGTGGATTAAAATTAAAATATCTAACATTTTAAACAAAATATATAATGCTATATATAATCTTTAAGATTGTGCATGCCATGAAATCACATTATATGTTAAATTACAGATTATAAGTTTAGATAGTTTTATAAAATTATAATAGAAATAAAATGTAATAGTAAATATTTAAAAGTTACCAAATAATAAAATATAAACAATAACAAATTATATTATATAAGCCTGATATCATAACACCAGTTCTATTTGCTAAAAACTACTTCTCTATTTTGGTAATAAAAGAAAATATACTGATACAATCAAAGAGGAACTGTACCATGTATATCTTAGTTCTATTACTATAATGAAAAAAAAGATTGTTGAATTATTACACTATACAAGCCTGATTGTGCCACCAGATCTAGTTGCTAACAAACTATTTTT